TAAACATTTTTCACTAGTTAACTATCATGGAATATATAATAATGATATGACGGAATAAATAGGCAAAATCATATTTTCATTCATTGTGATTTTTTGCCAACATTACTTCTGGTTATAATTGAGTATAAGGATTACTCAGTGTAAAGCTTGTTTTATTTTCGGTGTGACATTTTACGTAATATTATATTGACTTATTTTACAATGGGGTTTAGTTGAAACACGTTATTCTTGTATTAAATTAACGTGAATTGTACTTCAGCATGACATGCAACATGTGATTTGTTGTAGTTCCGAGCATTTCTTTTTTACATATGTGATTTTCCAAATAGTAGTCAAAATGGGTAAACAATCAATCTATAATGAATATATTTTCTACTGGGTTTGTCTCGTTTGAGAGTAAGCAAATCTTCTTTTGCATCAATCTTTCGTGTTCTTACTTCGTGTCGTGAGAATTATAGTGGTTTCTCGTCTCCAAGCTAAAATAATAACCTACTGTATAAACGTTAATAGTCACATCATAGCTGTAAAAACACACATTACTAAGTTAACCGAGTTGACAGAACAGTCCTTGTTTTGTTTTGACGTGAACATCACAAAGTACTTGATTGAAGGAATAAACTGGCCTCACAGATGATAACACCCAGGAAGATGAAGTAATCCAAGTGATACTAAAGCTACCACATCTGAGTCTTGGCCAGACATTTCTGGATAAAAACTTCAGAATTCTATCCTCAAGACACAGTAAAGGTGGTACAACCCCTACAGAGTAGTTCCATAGGCGACTTGCCACATGTATTAGAAGTTGGTGATGCCATGAGATGGCATGCAGTCAAAAAACCCTTAAACGTAGTGTTTTTATGGATGAATAATCAGCTTCCAGTTTAAGATATCCACGTACACTCGCCAATAGAAAGTAGTGACTATGTTACCATCATGCTTAACGTGGTTATAAGTGAGCTATCTAGAGAGGTACAGGGACGACCTCTACCCTGGATATACTGAGAAAGACCGCATAATCGTGAGGCAGCATCTTCAAGAGACCAGTGGTCACGTGAGTTGAAGAGGCTATCATTTAGCGAACACTGAGAGGTAGTGTAAAGGAAAGAAAACGATGAAAATCCCTCTGCAGCTTCTTTGTTGAACAGTATTGTCATTTACTTGTTTCTTCTCCCTGTTGTGTATTTTAACCTTTGTTCCGATCTCGTTTAACCATATCTTTTGTTCTTCAGTCTTCCTCGTTTGGGCCTTTATTATGTGATTTTGATTAAAGACATATCTTTTGTTACTATTTTTCTATTGCATGTTGCCGGACCATTGACAGTAAGGTCGTGTTTGACTAGGCTCAAGGTCACGGCGTGGTTCAGTGTGTGATTGTGAACCTTCTGATTGTCTGCTTGGGAGAATTGCTGGTATCCCTGGAGATAGATATTTAATCCCATCTTGTTGGGAATATTTGTATTGATTCTCAGGTATCAAACCCTTTAGTATTAACTGTGTCTTTCATTGTTTAGCGCACTACTTTGCGTTAGAGAAACTTCTGACTGTATAGCACAGGCTGTACCGTTTGAGGTATTTTGTACTTTTGATGTAATTTGTTCTGTTTTCTTAGTTAGAACCGTTTATATTGAGCACAGAGTTTGTGTTTTGATATAATATAATACGAGTACCTCAAAAAAGCGTTGTGAGCTATACAGAGGAACGTGGTCTGGTCTAATCGAATAAATTTTGGGTTCGTCAGTCCGTTGTTCCATCCGAATATTGGTTGTTCGGTCGCTACAGGTAGTAAGGTCTATCTTTCAGAATGCTATCTAACGTAATGTACTACAGGCAAGGAACACAGCTGGAAAGAAAAGACCCTTGGTTAGGCGAGAATAGAACGCCTGCTACAGAGCAAAACTATAGTCCGGCACAGATGGAAAGCCTCCTCTTAGGATTTAAACCGTGGTTTTTACTAGATATTGATAAGCAAATGCAACGCCAATGTTCGGAGAAACACGAGATAATTTAAGCCAAACAAACAACTAAAATGCAAGTAAACTCTAAATGTTTCAACAGATTCATGATCTAAAAATCTTACAAATCAGGAGATCTGCATTAGATAACGGAAATCTTGCCAACCTAAAGATAGAAGAAATCTTTAATATCAACTTCACAGATATCTTAAACCAAAAACCTAAAAACACGTACCACCCCTCAGCTTCAGCACCAGCTGAGAGCCCTAAGAATATTTAACCAACTTTCGGATTGGCACCAAGAAATCGAAAATCTTCACATTAAGGAAAGCTACAAGAAGGTGAAAACATACGCCCTAAAATCTTGGAACACTGCGCGGATTTCATTAGTTCACCAGTATGGAAACAACTCAGGCATTCAATAGAGTCAAATAAGCTTGCAAGAGAATAGAAATATACTGCTCTCCCTCGGCTGTTCAAAGGAGGAGACAGGAACATTACAGCCTACCACAGAATATTTGCACTACTCCCACTAACAATGAAGATAATAGGAGAACTGGTCAGTAAATAGATGGAGTAATGCACAGATTAGAGCAACATGATGCCTTATACGTGTCTAGAAAAAGAATTTCCTGAGGGTCTAATCTTCCCAAGGCATGGAACAACACAGTGAACGGTTGAACTTAAAGATACCAATCTATGCTATATTCCATGGCTTAAAAAGCCTTCGATATAGTTCCTCACGAAGTCGTGTATCACAAGCCGACTTCACTGTTCGAACCATAACTACCTCAAGTACAAGTTGTTTGGCAACAAGGAAAGTAGAGTGCACTGTGGTACTTGTATAAAATAATGATTCTTTTGTACTACACGCATGCCTGATTTTGAACTCCAAATACGATACGTCCGTTGCTGCCCACCTACCTCTACATGACTTATATTGAATTATTTAGGGAATTACCAGTTCGTATAATAGTTTAAATAATTCTAAGAATCATACACACTCGAGTTGGAATATCACAGAATCAGTAGCTTCAAAAATAATAATAGTAGGTCAACCCTGTCTAATGCTTATTAACTGCCGTTTAGTTACATTAAGCACGGCAGCACTGATATGATCATACGGTGAAACGAACTGGAGGTTTATAAAGTCGGAAAAGAATTCCATTGTGATTCTAAAGGACCTTACAACAATAGAAGAATGGAAAGCAGGTGACTGATCGAGAATTAATCAGCCGAAACGTCATGTCAAGAGCACTCTCCGTCATGGGACAAAAATCCTCCGTGGAAGTTGTTAGCAGGTCATAGACTGGATTAAAACATGCTCAATACACGATTGCTTTGGCGCACGCTGAATGGTTATTTCTTATACAATCAGCGCCAGTCGATACTTCGAGAACTCTACAATCTCTCCAAGTAAAAACAATAAATATACGAACGTTTTTCCTACTGTGCTTCTTACTTCCATCTAACCTTGCTATTTGGAATACAATCTCTTCCCTGTTCAACTGTGTTCTGATTTGAGGACCTGTTGAGTGAATTGGTGTCCAAGATTACTAAGCAATAGGAATAGCTGGGAGACAGAAATTTGCCCCCAATTGTCTCCTCAGAGCTCCATGTCGTATTGGTAACCACAAAGAGCTTGGATAACAGATTGAACCACCCTGGAGATGCAGTAAGGGCTAATACAACTGTTCACTTCATGCGAAGACAGCTTGGAGCAATCACCCACATTTTATATCAAACTTGTTAAATCGAATATTCAAATTCACCTTGAAGTTCACAACCACTCTCTCTCTCTCTGCAAAAGAGACGTAAATCTACTCGACAAAGTACAGAGGCAGACATCTAAATAGGTGATGGTGCTAGAGAAGTCATACGAAGATAGAATCCAATGCTCCGAATTATTCTTAGTGTAAATAAGAGGTGATTTGATAATCACATTAAACATAAAAGTTACGCAAGGCTACATAAACACGAGTATTTAATCAGAATGTCATCACCACTCTCGTTGAAGCAACCTCCCGAAAATGACAGGTCAAATAACAAAAACCTGGGTACGCTCTCAATTTTTATCTATAAGAGCTGCCTTTACATGTCATAATCTCCCGGCCCAAGCCATAACAGCCTTCCCAGTAGACAGATTCAATAGACTATTTGACAAACACATATTCACCCATGGATCTCCCCTTAGACTAGCTGCGTTTGATGCATGTCTCACAAATAACCACAGTTATTATTTCCGTAAATCAGCAACCACTTCGGATCTCGATTAATATTATCTTCATCTCCTCACTGAGTCCTACAGTTTGGTCTTCTCACACTGTTTAAACGATCTATATATAATTAGAATCATCCGCCTTTTCCTAGTATTCCAATTTTCTCTTCAATACCATTCACTTTGCAACCAACTGACTTACACCTTGCTAATGTGATAGCTCATGGAATTCAGAAACATTCGAGCACCAAGTCGAAATAATTCACTTGAATGAGGTCGTTATCAATATTGAAGGATTACAGAATTATTTATTTCGGGGATTTATTTATCGATACAAGGTATACAAACCCGCAATTTGCAACCAAAATGACAAGAATCAGTGTAGTCCAGTGCCTAGACTACCTACAGTTGAGCGCTGGCAAAGATATGGAACTGTACTGAAGTAGTGAGAAGTAAGTGCATGTAAATCAATCCGTTTACATAAGCTTGTCACAAAGACATAGAATATTGTACTAAGTAAGATACACAGTACAAGTTAAATGTTAAACTTTATTTTCTAAAAAGAGAGTGCGTGATGACTATTAAAGATCTGAAACTGCTTCTTACCACACAGTTAATGTAGAGAAGTGGTCAGATGCTTTACATTAGCTCAATATACCCATAATATGAATAATCATAACCCGATACTGTCCTCTGTAAATTTTCAGCTTACTGTAAACAAAGTATTCCAGATAAAGAATCATAAAAAATTCAGTTGATGATTCTTTGTTTTCCGTCCTTCCTATTAATTCATGTTTTGTTTACATCGTGTGTTTAACTTATAATCAGTCCGCATAGAGTAAGAGGGAATATGAATAAGTTAGTATTTTTATGTTTACTATCGTTCGGGCCATTAATGAGTTATTCGGCCGAGCCTTCTCGTCTGTCTGTTTTCTGGACTGTTTTAGGTACTTGATAGTTTAGTCAAAAATGCTTGTAGTTTTGTCCACTAAACCTCCTCACAAAAATGAATCTTTGATGAACAAAACAGTATGGGAGTCTAAGATTTCTGAAGCACTTAAAAGTACCAAAATATCGTATTCGGAATACTTCAATCTGGTTGAAGCTGAAAACAGGTCTGTCGTGGTAAGTTAACTGATAGATCTTCTGGATTTTTTAAAGTATTATATACTTGCATTCATAGATGATATAATTTCTGTGTACAGCCTCGCTTTTCAACATTGGACTTCAAATAGTTTTCATTGGTAAATCAGCAGGCCGTTAAAATGGTTGTCTGTTGTGTGAAATAAGAACTGATTAAAGTTGATCAGGGTTATTTTCATAAAACTTTAATTATGAACTGGAAGCAATTGAGGGTGATTTTATGGTCCTTGATTTGTCATGCAAAAAGTACTATTCAGTAAGGACTTTTCATTTATAACTGCTCACTTTCAAATCATTGATAGTGCGGTTAAGCGGTAGTATGACGGATCAACTAGTTACTAGCACTTCGAAGTGCTAGTAAATAGTCTTTTAAATATAAATACTTCGATGTTTTAGATTTCATAGATAAATTATTCCTTCCAATAAGACACTATCAACAGCGCATTTTGAAATGACTGGAGTGTGTCTTGGAACTGACATTAGTCTTACACGTTTCATAAGGCTTTCTAATCTCCCAAGTACTACATCAATCTCTACACATTGAATTTTGTCGCCAAACGACGACTGCTACTTTACGACCTAAAACATGTATTTTCGGAGGTATTTTTGTATTAGTTAGAGTTGTAAATTTTAGTGGGTGTAAATTCCTCATATGCAAATATGAATAGATCGTCTCTAGTAAGTTGACCAATAGCAGATGAGTATTTCTTTGCTTATCCAGACAAACTTGTAAGGGTTACGCAGAAAAATAAGCAAGTAAATAAACGAAAAGAGGAATAAAATTTGTTATCCATTGACCAACAACTATACTAAGTTCTCAAAGGTATATATATTAAAGATTCCATAGGCTTTTCTATAATGAAAAAGTTAATCAGAATATCTTCATCCCATTACGACCACTTTTTCAGCAGATGTATCATATTTATTACAAATTAATTTGAACTTTCTAATAAGTGCATGTTAATATCAGTGTTTTAAAAACTGAATACGAGGTTTACTAGTGAGTTACATATTAATTCACATTTTTAATATGACAGCTTGGTATCCTCCGTACTCATGAGCACGATGTTCTTGTAAGTAACTTGCAATGAATGAACAGGATATATCAACTACACAGACTTAATTCTTATTTTTCTATTTCTATGCTTATCTTTCTGAATTTTCAAAGGTCGATTACATAGAGAGAGACGAATCTCGATCATATTTGAAGATATTTTTCTACGTACAGCAGAATAACCTCTTCCAACCTTCTCCTTCTATTGTTTACCAGCTCAATCAAATGCCGGTGGACTGGTTAGCAGTTTACTTGGGAATGCCAGTCATAGAAAGACCTAAAGGTGCTTTTTATTTATTTGGTTTCTCACAATATATATTGCGACCTAACAAACACTTATTACGGTTCTCCAGAGAGTACGCAATCACTTTTTATGAATACATGTCTTCAACAAGTCATAACAGCTTTTGAATTACTTACTTGTTCCCCTAAGTTTAGTCAGTCTAGGAGCTGTGGGTACATTTGATTTCGTGAATCAAGTCATTTAACACATAATCCTCAACTTGCAAGGCTTTTACTTTCATCGACATACATTAGCTACATATTTTAATGCACCCAACTGCTACATTTTCGGTCAAAGACTTAACAGGCTTTCGGGTCCAAGTCATTCACGCCTTCTGCACTAATCACGAAGTTCTTATGTGACCATCCTGTTCTTATCATACAACTCAACGGTTATAGTAAGCAACATTTCGAAGATAAATAGGTGTTTTTCGAAATAAAGTTAACAGAAATTAATTAGCTATATTTGTTCTCTGTAATGCGAATATATTCAAAAAGAATTAGATTTTGATATTCATTATAAATAGAACTGTGTTAATCTCTGTACCAGCGAGATGGCAACATATCATTAAGTAGTTGATTTTAAGTACATGATTGTTATCTTAGAGTATTTTAATAATGACTTGAGTACATACGTTTAATCTTTATTTGTATTAGTTTGCAGAATCATTATCAACAACGGTATTTGCTCATCTATGACTTTGACTACCGTCGGTATCAAATTAAATATTATTTTGTAAAGAACAGCTGGAGAATTACGTTTTCTTAACCAGTAATTTATCTGTAAATATTTTGCCAATGTAACCTCTGCTATCTTTGATAATAACTCTTGAAAATGATCATGGGTATTCCCACTGCTTTAATTAACTTACATTTGACTGACAAACGAAAAGTGATCGCTAAATTAGTGGCTTTTGTTCAAATAAGAAACATAAATTTATAGAAACACCCTTTTTCACCAAACACAGTTGGTTTATGAAAGCTTATGTGATATATATATATATATATATATATATATATATATATATGAGCAACAGGGTAAAGATGTAGTTCGGAAAAATACAGGCAATAAAGCAGTGGTTGCTAACAGAACGGCAGAATAGCAACAGTAAAAATCTTATCTAGTGAGGGCATCTACAAAACACATAAGTTGACTGGTTTGCATAATCAATATGATGACTTTGCTAAACAAATTAAGATCTTTGTCAAAACTAATGGAAACTATGGACTAATGAAGAATCGTATCCAAACAGAATACAAAATACGTTTAGTTATTCCTAATGCTCAAACACGCCTAAGTAGATGAGACGTTGTAACACAAATAGTGTTCAAACCAATTATCTGCTATACTGGAACTAAACGTTTGCTGAAATATGTGATGTTATTTTTGTGTACAGTCAGTTAATCGATTAAGTAATTTGTCAAAAATGTTTTGCCATAATAAAAACACCACATAAACTTCCCTTCTCGAACTTCATTATTTCACCAGTTTACGATATAGGCGCTTATGAAAAAGAAGATGATTTTATATGGATCATTGGAATAATTGCTATTTGTTTTCTTGGAATATTGCTGATTTGTTGGTGCTTTATATTTCTATACACATTTGTTCTACAAGCCACTGCTATGGTTAAATGGTTACCGAGACCAATGATTAGCAATTCTAAACAAATATTTTACAAAGCAGAGAAATTACAGGTAAGTTTCCATTAAGTCAGACTTCACGAAATTGTTTTATTCCTCACATTAGAATTTATTTTGGTTAATCCAATCTCATAGTACTTATCTTTTTAAGCTTGTATCTCTCCTTTGGTACTTTCCAGTTAGATCATAGAACTTAAACTCTGTCATACTTTCTTCTTCAACAAATTTCGTCGGTCAGATTTGCGATCCATCAACTTTCTAAAGATTTCAGATATGTCATATTGAAAAATCCTACGGAGTATGGTGTTTATTCTCACATAATTTATGCTAACCACATTCAAGTATTCAACATAATATCCCAGTAGATCTTACCAAAACCACTAGATTTCAATACATTTAAGTAATGCGTTTGTTGTAAGTTAATCTTAATCGAGCTTTCTTGATATTTCACACCTCTAATTTTATTTGTCAGCTTTATTATTATAGACTACATAGAATTTATAAAACCCTTTTACCCTAAATGCACTGTTTTTTGTGCAACTGTAAAAAGTCCTGTCAGTGGAAAGAAGTAGGGCTAAATTTGTATGGTGACGGCGACCTGCTAAGCATTTTAGACAACCTATTTTATAATTGTGCTACTATTACAGTATATTTTCTTATATTATGCATATTTTAACATATTAATGGTTGATTTAAATAATTTTATGTACCTACACTCTTAAAAACGTTAGAAAGCTTTTGCGATGCTAAATATTGAATGATATAGTCAGAAACCTTATAATTTTTGAAACATAATAGTTTATGTTTATCTTTTGAAGAAAAAAATGAAGAATACACTGGAATTCATTAATTGAATGTGTTGCACGTAGCGGTAACTAACAAAAACCCTTATGACTGAAAGCGAACGTCAGGCGAAAGTTGTTTGAATACATTTTATCGGATGTTTTGTAGTTTTGTATCATCGACTGACTTCAGTTAAAGAAATACAGAAAATGAAATAGCATTGTACAGGCTTTTTATCCCAACACGGAAATCTTCAACATTTCGCATCTATAGTTACACGAAGAGGTCAATCCAAGACTTTTGGCCCTAGTGGCGAATGGAAAATATTTTAAAATTCAAGTTACACCAGTGTTTCAGATAATTTATTCTGTGGATTCGTCATTGTAACCAACGTACCTCTTTGAATAAGAGCCATTACTTTCAATGTAGATATTACTAATACGTTTGATTTACAACTTATGCAAGTATTAGAAGTAACTTGTACAAATGTAGTTCATGTATTCATTGAATGTTCTTGGTGAACATTTTGAAAAATTCTCAATTTTGCCTAGTACTGTGGTGGTAAAATGAACTGATTGTGTTCGATTACGTGTTCTAAAGCCATCTTATGATGTTAGGAAGTAATCAGTATTTATCTTCTCCTCATTTCTGCTTCTTACCTATGTTGTTTAATATTCTCTTCATTGAGGTTTCAAAAAACAGTTGTGCCTTGTCTGTGACCTCCCATCTTTTTAAAAGATCAAGTAGAACTATTTTTCAATAAATATTTTCCATATACTTATCTATTATTATTAACTACAGTGTATAATGACAATTTCCGTATCTCAGCTGTATTAACTTAATTACACTAATCTTTTCTATTGTATTCAGCTATTTGTTTTCCAACCCAAGCTTATTACAGTTGATAAGATGTCTTGAATTTAAATGGATTTTTCTGCTCCTTTTGCTAATTTCTTACCTTCTTTAAAGTAAACAATGAAACAAAACAAATATATATACCCTGTACATGGTAGAAAAGGAATTTCATTTTCATGTTCATTCAAATGGTGTTAGCTTATAAACATTCTTAGTCATCGTTTTACTGAATATGCAGTTTTATTCATCCTTAAATCCTTCTTCATAGGGTGATGAAAGACAAGTATTTTATTATAACGGTGTAAAAATTAATTTGAAAAGGTAATATATTAGATGCTTTAGTGATTTTCTTTACACGACCTTTATATTTCACTGTTGATGATGAATAAGCATTAAATCCTAAGATTTTGATTTGATTTTTATCAACAGTTTAATTGTTTACTGTTTTATTCAAATAGATATCAGCTCTAAAAATACTGATAAGTCTTGCTAATTGAACGCTACATTCAGTTCTTAAGCTCTTCTAGTAACCCCTAAGCTAGAACTACACAGCGACTTGAACACGAGAGAAAAGGCTCAAAGTACGTAAGAAACACTTTACTCCAAAGGTTCATTTATGTACAGGAAATATTGGGTTTTTATAGTATTTTAGATGTCTTTGGGTTTTTCCGAATGCTACTAAACATAGTAGCAGTGTAGTAATCATCATCCAATCAGAAACTCGAAATGTTACTTCCCAACTTCTAGATGTTTCTGGCAAAACTTCTCATGAACGCTGATTGGATAAGATGCTTCTCAGTGTTTTCAGAGCCTTTCTTGGCTTTTTCCAGGAGTTTTCTGGATCTACTCAACAAATATCAGTAAAAGTCTCTTTTTTAAAATTTTACTCAGCGATTTAGTTGTTATATTGGTAAGCAATATTTGTTAACGTCAATATACTTGATAATAAATGTAAACATTTTATTGAATTTCATATTTGATGCTGACCATTTAATAGAGAGAATTTGAAGAAAAGAAAGATTCACAAATACAAACCGATGATTTAGAATGTTCGCAGTCAAAAATAAGCAAAACTGAAAACTCAATATGGTAATTCAACCTTTTATTCCTCTAAAATCTGTATAGATCTATTTCAAATGTTTGTTAGTTTTATTTCATATACCCATAGATACTTATAGTGAAATGGAATAAAATAACACTGTTTAATAGGATATTTGTATCCACTTAAGTTTAGTTAAATATAGATTTTTCATTCTAAACGAAGTTTATTCATTATTTATAATTTATATTGTGTACTCATTGAAATTTTATATCCTCCTTTTAACTATAAACAAATTCAAATACTATCAGAATGGGTTTTGTGGAGATTTTTAGAAATTTCACTGGTTGAAATCATGAGTCAATTGAAGCTAGACCACCAGGGAAAACCTGTCCTCGGTTCGAATCTCGCGGAGTGCGGGATCGTGGATGCGCACTGATGAGGAGTCCCATACCAGGACGAAACGGCCGTTCATTGCTTCCAGGTTTTCCATGGTGGTCTAGCTTCAATTGACTCATGATTTCAACCAGTGAAAATTCAAGTACATTTAAATGGTAATCATTACAATGATTCAGCAAATAAAGTAAGTTCCTGAAAAAAAACATCTTCAGTTACAACATACTACAATATATTCCTTAACACAATAAACATCACGAGTAAATTAAATCGTTTTGCATAATATTGACAGTTTGAGAATAAAAACTAACCTGTTTAATTCCGATATGACTACTACATCAGTAAATGATTTCTCCTCACACTTGAATGATATACATAAAATAAATAGATGAAAGATCTAAGAGAGAAACTTCACGATGATAATCACAATTCTACTGTGTATAAACAATAGTAAAATGATTCAAGTTAGATTCATCGGGTTATTTGTTTTCATCACTAAATTACTTAATCTCCTATAATTCAATCTAAATTATACTGTTCACTTTATAGGATTGACGTCTGATAAGTTATGATGTGTTTATATAACGAGAATTTGTGATAAGTGAAATCAACTAAGCAGATCAATGCTTCATACATGCATGTATGGAAATATAAATCTGCAAGTGAGAACAATTTTAGTCTAATTAAAGAACTAAGTTATTTGCTTTTAGATTTATAATCATAAAGAAAGCGTCCCAATGATGTAAAATAATATTCCCTGATTTTGCTTACGAAAGGTTGATTGACATTCGAGGCAATTTATATAAGAAAGAAAGAAATAGATGAAATCAAATGACAGTTATGAATGCATTTATAGTTCATTAAACATAAATACTGATACATTCCTCATGTGTTACATAATACATCTCACCATTTTAAAAACAGGCATTTTTCTTAGTTTTAATGATTGCTGTTAATTTATTTTGTTTTGTTATACTCTCTATCTTTATTTTTAAGTGATGCGACAGTGTTGGATTCCAATTTCTCGGGTAAACACATTTTTATTCCAATTATCTTTTTTTTCAAAGAAGCTCGACTTTCAACCGTTTCAGAAATTAGTTTAGAAGAATCAGTCAACCCCACTGTAAGTGAATTAAATGAATCTGTTGTACCCTTGTCTGAAACACAAGTTCTATTATCGGATGAAGAAGGTAAATATTCTATTATGAATATTTTTCTTATCAATTTACAATCAGATGGTATTATAAATCAACAGTTGAATGTAATCGAAGTTAATACGAAGTATGTTACAAATTCATTCAAAATTTATATTTTCATTGAACTAGGAATTCAAAGAATGAAGTGATTGAAGAAAATGAAGGTGGTAAGTAATATTATCAACAAACTGTCATGTAAATAGGCTAGTAATCTTGAATATATTTGGAACTATCATAACTATATGTAAACTATACCTCAGAGTTGAAACTTAAGAAAAGTCTACCTGATATCATTAACTTCAATATTTTGCTCGACTTTTCATTCTTTATTATACGATATTAAATTAAAATATTTCAAAATGTAATCGTATAAAAAACATTACTGTACACCGAGGAATCTTTTAAAGAGAACCTTTATGCACGTAACTTTCCGCAGTGTTGAACGTATCTGAAAATAGCCTCATTTACCCATAAGTGGGTCGAAACTGTTGGTTCCCCAGTCAATTTTAGTTCATGAAGAGAATTGCTTTCACAATTATATTTCGGTAAGATGTTTAGCATAGTTTTCCTTTAATTTTAAAATAGCACATCTAATTTTTTTTTCTATATGGTCATTTTTACATTAATATATATTAAAATTAGCTACTGTTTCCCTTTAAAGATTTGCTACAGGCATCCGAAATGGATAAAACGCTTACTTTTGGATCGTTCGATAATGTAATACCTTTTGTGATGTCTGTTCCACCACGTCCAGAAGCGATAAAATTAGCAAATTTATTAAACTCTCAGAAAGTAGGTTTACCAGTTAAATAATCAAAGTTTTTTTCACTAAAGACTTGTAAATAAATAGTTAAATCTATAAATACACATAATTAGCCAAAACACGAAACTGTGATCTCACCATACCACAATTTAAAAAAAAATAGATTTCAGCTTATAGGGAATACTTCTACAAAAAATGGTGCGTGTACATTTGTCACAGAACATGGATAATATTTGTTGTTGTTGTTAAAATTAAACCAAGATACTGATCAATTGTAGTGCTAAATATCAATGGAAAGATTCAAGTAAACAATACCAAATGAATTTAAACTAAATAGTTATTCGAATCGTTTAAGACCGTAAAAATGTACTTTCCTATCAACTATTTCTAAAACTTCTTGTCAATGAAATGTATCTTACAATATAAATTTCATAATGAATTACAGGTAGTTCTTTATAATAAATCAATCTTTGATAACACTGTAATTATTGATAAATAATATGCACTCATTATTTGTTGGGATATTCAGGAAAATATCCCAAAGATCATCCTGTTAAGCCTAATGCTATCCTTGGACATGAAATGGTATCATCAGATTGGTCAATATTCATTTAACGTGTTATTTTCCTGTTGGCCAATATTGTACAATGTTATTTTCTATTTTGTGGTACGTTGTGGTCTGCTTGACTGGTATATAAACTAAGTATGTTTGAAATATAATGATTCATATATCCGAGGCTGTGACTTGCGTTCTGGACTCAACTGGCTGGGTTAGACAGGGAAGCGGGACCAATCAGAACCCTAGGTCGTTCTACGTGTTTGCGCGTCTTTGGTCCGATCAATAATTCGCTACTCTTTAATCAGCAGCATTTTTCACGTTATAACAATTGGCGACGGGGGTGGGATAACATTATTACAAACAGTACAATGTACTAATTCCTTTTATTAGTTATATATCGTGTCTAGTTATTTAAATAAATTTAGAACAAATATTGATGTAGAATAGTATGAATTCATCATATTTCATCGTTTCTCATCAGCCGCTTACAACCAAATATGTGATAGAATTTTCACATTCAGGTAAGACATTTTATGGAACAATTAACATAAGTAAATGTAAAGAATTGGAATGACAAAAGTTATCAATAATAACTATATATATATGCAAGAACAGGTCAGAGGTTATTTTGATATTGGAACCAAGGAAACATTAAGGATTGGTGATGTATGCATCAATGTTTGTTCTAGCTTTATTTAAATTCATAAAGGGAAGTAATTGTATGAAATAATCAGTGATTGCTGTTTCTTGATATATGTAAGTCTTCAAGCAGATTTTACATGGTATTGTAGTGAACAGAACACGGGTGGGGACAACCGAATGTATTTGTGCACAAAATTACAGGACTTGTTAATAAAATCTAATAATCATAAAGTATATGCTTAATTTGCAAAATGTCCACCAATTGTTTCAAAATGACTCAGACTTCATTGTTCTTGCAGTTTCATACAAATTGCATTCTGTTTCCATTCTTTACTGTTTGATCCTCTTGTCTCTCTGACTAACATCATATACTACTTATGTCGATTTAAGTAGCACACACTACACTATCTTTATCGTTCTTTCCAATGGTAATAATGGAAACATGGAATATATTTATTAATGCAGATATGAATTTATTTTATTTATTAAATTTCAATCCAATACAAGGCATTTGATTGAAATTCATTTAAACAATATTATTATGATTATCATTATTTCCTTTTATTTTGATTTATTTAACAGATAACAAAAACATAATTTTGATGAATGTTATCTTTATATTATTCAACCAGTCATTGAAATGGATACAACTGTTGTCATGATACCAATATATAAAGTCTTATTTATGGCTTAAAAGAAAACAAACATATTCATGTTATTTCACAATTTTCGCTATAGAAAAACAAATTGTGTTTTTATTAATAAAACATTAAATGTTTATGGTATTTTACACCTTAAGATAAATAAGATTTGATTCATAGTTGAAGAAGTGAGTCTTTATTTACATTCTGTCAAGGGTTATAGCTTGAATTATCGAGAGAGTGAGTGAGTGAGTGAGTGAGTGAGTGAGTGAGTGAGTGAGTGAGTGAGTGAGTGAGTGAGTGAGTGAGTGAGTGAGTGAGTGAGTGAGTGAGTGAGTGAGTGAGTGAGTGAGTGAGTGAGTGAGTGAGTGAGTGAGTGAGTGAGTGAGTGAGTGAGTGAGTGAGTGAAAAGTATCATGACCTCAGAATTTTGTAAATGTATTTTCTTAATAATATGTTTTTACTAGAAGTAATATACAAGCGAGATATTTTCATAACGTAAAAGATGAGTCTGATTCTAGGATGATTAGCAGTATTGTACAGATTTAATGAAACAGGAATCTCGTATTTGTTCAATCATAATCTTCAGACTACTAGGGACATAGGTTGTAAAGGATAGAAAAAACCGTAAACTTGTGTACATGTATTTCCTTTAAATATATACAGATAAAACGTTTAATTATGTACAACATGTTTATCACTTGATACAAACATCGCAGATTCACTATACTTACCCATACAATTTGTATCCTATTCTTATTATTGTGATTGTGATTCTGTTTCAAGTTACTTACGACTGCTACTCCTCTTGGAACATAGACGGACGACCAAGATCCTTCACCTAGCTCTTTTGGGAAATATTTCTCAGTTGTTTCCAAATGCTATTCATTCCTTTGATCTCTGCCTTCAATTGCAGATACAATGTGTTTCTTGGTTTTCCTCTTTAAGTTCTCCCTCTCAAGTTAGGGCTTGCCTCGTAATGCAGTTGGATGATTTCTGCATAATGCATCTTATCCTCCTTGAAATTCTTTCCCGAATTCCCTCTTCATCTGGGAATTGATTTGTTCTCTTCTACAGTAGGATGTTGCTGATGGTATCCGGTCAACAAACATTAGGTATCTTTTGTAAACAATTGTTTATAAATATTTGTACTATTTCAATGACAGTTGTAGTTCTCTACGTTTTAGCTCCGTACAATATACCTCACTGTTTCGACGTTCGTATTGAAGATTCTGAGTTTAATATTGGTTGATTGTTGTTTTGAGTTCTGTATGTTCTTCTATTGTACGAATGATGCCCAACCTTTTCCAATCCATGGCTTAAGATACGTATCTAAACTTCAGAAATCGAAATATGTTAAGACATTTGTTATTAATTATATTATTAATTGTAATTTTAGGTTATTTGCAGCTGATGAGAATTTGTATTTCTATTCAACAAACCATTTTATACTTGCTCTGTTCTATGTTATCAATGGATTCAGTTGCATACAATTCCATTTACTTTTACGAAGTAGATAAAAAAAAATCAAATTTGCATAATATGTCGAAATCATAGTTGTCTAATGTATTGCTTATTATTTATTAATGTACTTGTCAATTACTAAATTAGATTTTGTTATGTCTCGACAAGAATGTCGGATGGTAACTTTTGGGATCCATTTATGAACAAATACTATGAGTATATTTCTATTGTTTAATTATTAAGTAACTATACTATACATATTCATATTCCTATTATTATAAGCTTTATTTTGATCCATAAACTATTATTATACGTTTTACCATTCTTGAGTTATACCTAATATATTAATCACTACCTCCCTCATTCACAACCACAATTAGCTAATTCTTGTGCAAATGTTGTTCTCTATTTTATTGGTACGTTGTGGTTTGTTTGATTGATATATAAACTCAGTATGTCTGAAATATAATGATTCATACCTCAAGGGCTCGGATTGGCGTTCTGGACTTAACTGGCTGGGCTAGGCGGAAAGCAAGGCCAATCGGAACTTTAGGCTGCTCATACGGGTTTACGCGTCTTTGATCCGATCGATAAGTCACTGCTCTTTAATCGGCGGTCACAAGTTATAACAGATTTCTATTTTCAAACACTTTATTGTTTGAAATATGACTAGGAGATTATGGTATATAAAAGTAATTAAGTTGAGATTTATGCAAACATTTAATTCATGGTCAAAGCTACAATAAATTAAACATTATGAAATTTAAATATTTTACAAGTGTAGTATAATTTTTCTAAGATATGTTTATCAAATAAAAACTTGAGCTCGTAGACAGAGTTAAACGAACCCAGTTTACTGTAGAAGATTATAACTGAAGAAGGATATGAAACTATTAATAAATGCCTACTTAAAACGTTTTACATATAAAATTCCATGAAGGTTTGGATGTAGTTTGACACTATATTAGAAGATGATGGACTACAATATCATAAATCTACCTTGATTATAGTCTTTTTCTAAATGTAGGCTCAATTAGGACAAAAAACGTAAATTCAACTGGATATTATAAAAGAGTTCACTTAAGAAGATAATTGACTTTAAAACAGAAAGATATTGAGTAGTAGAAAATTAATGGGATTGTGTATTATCACAACAGATTCTAGTTAACTATCTGCGTATAATTCAAAACATGAACTTGATTACTCTCAAATCTCATCGTCTACTGTTTTCCTGATTTACTTATCTCAATCAAAATATTACAAATAAAATAGAAAACACTATAAAAACATATTCTAACCTAAATAAGTCGATATTTAAGCTATAATTTACCTTATTTATGAATATATACTAAATAGCTCAAACACTTCAATACCTGTTCAAAAGAAAATCATCAGTTTTTAACAAAACGTTCAAAGATACTGAAAAATCTGACTTTACAAGATTTGATGAGATGATATTTTAATAATCAGATTCCTGATCATTTAGGCAAAAAGAAAAGAAACAATCTTTAAAAGAAATATGTTTTCTTTTCAACCGAATACCTTTTTCAGATTTTATTGTGCTTACATGTTTTCTCTTAAATTAAACCATTCAAAAAAGTACATAAATCATCATAGTCCTCGAAAAGAAATCTTTTCTGATATATATTTCCAAAAAGCTATGAGATAAAACAAATGCTGATTAAAACCAATTCTAACTAACTATCGATAACAGTCATCATATTTAGAACTTTGAACGTAATAATCACAAACATGAATCAAATTCTTACGCCTACCGGTATGTTCGATGAGATTTTAGGTGCAATATCTTGTAGGATCTTTTAGCTCATGGTCGTTTCACCTAGCATATTTATTTCCACAAATATTTCCAATACATTATATGTAACATGAACACTACTTGGCTCAGTGGTCAAAACGTTAAGCTCTGACTACGAGAGCAAAGAGATTTTATGTTTCTTTCTTAGTGAGGTTGTGGATGCACGATAATATGGAGCTCCATAGACAAACGAAACAGGTGTCTACACCTTCCTCGTTTTCGATTGTTGTCTGACTGATTTTAAGATTTAAATCACGATGCATGATATGAAGCATGTGTGAAAACTAAGTTTCTATAGGTGGACTTAAATTGTGTAGCAAATAAATTATATTCAAACTTGGCTACCAAGAGTCCCCTATATAATTTGTCGTACTTTTTCACAGCTTAGGACTAAATTAAATTTCGTGTAGCTTTAGAAATTAAATAATGTTGAGAAAATAATTGTACTACTAGCAAAATTTAAGTAGCCTAAACCATATCAAAAATAAAAGGAATATGTGATCAACTTGAATCCTATAATTCATCTATGAATCTGAGTGAGCTTGTTGATTAAACGTCATCGCAGTATCCTACTGACACATGAGAACTATAACACGGATGTAATTTGTCCAACTGAAACTCATAAATATAGACTTAATAATTGTACCTAAAATATATTGTGATTGTTATTTCACCAGAAATCACAGTCATCATACATATTTTTAGGGTGAACACATCAGAATAATTTCCTAGTGAGAAAACGCTAAACTGACTAAATGTAGTAAAAACAATCTTTATCATTATTATGACAATTTCTGAAAATATTTTAAAATAACGAAGGGTCTATTTCAGATTTTGACAAAAACAGGAACAAAGAAATATGACATTATTGACCATTATTACACTGGGGAGTAAAATAGGTCATAAACAGAGAATGAAAAAATCGTGAGCATTTAGATTTGTAAAAAACTAAAGGGAACTGATGCTATTATTGAACAGTTTTACCAGTCAGTGAAATTACAAATTTCATACTGAGTAAATGACTTTTTTATTTAACTGATTCACATATACGCTGTTTGACAACCGAAACAATATTGAGACTTTCCGTCTTGTTTTAAAAATATGTAAAATCTAGGCTATCTGAATGATAAACTACTTATCTGAACATTATAACATTCATAAGTAACAGAAACCGGTGATTTAGAACATCTAAATATATATATCGCCCATGGCAAATGCATTTGTCAATCACTGTGTACATAAAATGCTTTTCATACATGTTTACTTTGTGATGAATTAAGTATATTAGATGATTGCAGTAAGTTAATTATGTCAAACTACATTCTAGTAATAACTCGATAGCTATTTCATGATATAAATACTGATGTGTGGAGCGAAATTGAGCACGTAGGAGACAACTACGGGCTTTGATGCAAGTTTATTTAGGTATCTTTGTTCAAACATAAATCAATTTCGACTGTATACTTTAAAATTAATCATAATTATGGAATTCTGTGTTTACACACGCATCTATGTCGATCAGTAATGCTCTACGCAATAAGAATAATCACAAAAGCTTCTTAAATAATTTTATCTGTTACTTGGTGGATTTTCCTCCTGTCGACTAAATTATTATTATTAATGGCTTTATTCAATATTGTATTTTTAGTACAATATAGAATTCTCGGCACAAAGTACTTTAACAAGTTTCCTTTTCTTATTTCTTGATTGATCCTTGCGATAAATATTGGGTGGATGTTAGGAGTTCAGGAATCGACATCTGATTAATGTATATTCTTTTCGATGCATATTGCCAGAAACCACGATGTTTCTGATTGGGCTCTTTTGTAACTTGTACATCGAAATATCATAAACTTTTCACAAACGCACCTGAATAGGTTATGCGACTAATAGGCATAATGACGTGTTAAAACAAACAAGAAAACAGATAACATCTTAAAACATCCAGATGGCTGGAACAGGTAGCCCGGATATTCAAGAAG